ATTTTGGACCCCAAAACCCCAAAACCCCATAATGCTGAGATATGATGAAATTATGAAATTAAAGAATTAATTTTATCATTAAGCCCCGTAACCACCTCCTCCTGGAGTCATAATTCTTATTCTTGCATCTTTCTTAAGTATTGTGGAGTTTTTAGGTCCAAAATTTTAGAGTTTTCCGTCAGGATGAATAATGATATTTTTTCCTCTATGACCATCCTCTCCTCCTTTGAGACCATATGGGGCAGAAGTTCTTCTCTCACTCAAAATACCAACCTCAATATCATCTTTCAAAAATTAAATTTCTCTTATTATTCCTTGTCCACCATTGAATTTTCCGAGGCCTCCACTTCCTACTCTAAAATGAAATTCTCTTAACAAGACAGGATATCTAATCTCAAAAATCTCACAGTCAGTAATTCTTGTATTGGTCATATGGGTGTGGACACCATTTTTACCATGCCAGTAAGGTCCAGCTCCTGAACCTCCAGCAATTGTTTCATAATATCCAAATGACTTATCACCAAATGTCAAGTTATTCATTGTTCCTTATGATGCTGCACAAGCTTAGAATGCTTTTAAGATAACATCTGTTATTCTTGATGATGTTTCTACATTTCCTCCAACAACAGCTGCTTAAGATGAAGGATTTAAAAGACAATTCTCAGGAAGTATAATCTTTAATTATTAATTTTACTAAATCTTACCTTGATTGGATTTAGACATCCTTGATTCAGTGGAATTTCTGAATTAACAAGGCATCTTAGACAATAAATGATTGCTGAACTAGTAATAGCTCTTGGAGCATTACAATTTCCATACATTTCTGGATCAGTTCCCTTTAAATTAATTAAAATCATGAAAAAGTTACATTAAAATCGAATACTGCTTCCCCTTTGGTTCTATCAATAGTCAGGGATAGTTTTATCATGCTTCCATCATCCATATAATCAATAGCATGAACAGTATCAATTTCCTTTAATCCTTACTAGATGCTCAGTTGAGTTAACATCTGTCTGACACTTGATTCAGCATTCTGCTAAATATTGATCATGTAGGCCTGAACATATATTAGAGAGTATTCATTTATAAGACTTTGCACTAGCATTATACCTCTATTGTTTGCAGCTATCTAGGCTTTTAAATCTGAAATATTATCAGCTAAATTTCGTGTTCCTCGGATCAAAGGATTATCTCCACTTTAATTAACTAAAAGGTCAGTGATCCCAACCTCCTAGAAAACTCCATCTTAAACTAATTTGAACGTTTCAATAGCTGCTCCTTCTTCGCTTAGATCCTTCGAGAAGCTAGGCATGCTTCCTGGTTGTATACCCTAAAACAGTTATAATTCTATTCATTACTCCAATATCAGCATGATGACCTCTTGATGCAACATAGAATACAGGCTTTCCATTCGAAAAGACAGGTGTGATGACTGTAATATCAGGCAAATGTGTCCCACCTGCTTTAGGATGATTAGTAACGATAACTTCTCCCTCTAACCAATTTTCACCCCACAGATTTACTTAATATCTCACAGCCTCTTACATTGATCCTAAATGCACTGGTAAATGAGGAGCATTTGCAACAAGATTTCCAGATGGATCGAACAAAGCACATGAAAAGTCCAGTCGTTCTTTAATGTTAGTGCTGACAGAAGTTTTCTAAAGTGTCAGTCCCATTTATTCTGCAATTGACATAAATCTATGTCCAAAAATAGAAAGTTCTACTATATCAAATGGTACCTCCTCAATAGATTTATACTTTTTAAATTAATCTCTTTGTTAGGCTTCTCCAACATCGATGAATACATTACCGAAATCATCAATCTAGCCTGTGCAATCTGGCTCTATCAAAATAGTACTGGTTTGATTAAGAATTATTGCTGGACCTTGCAAAATATCTTTGGCCTTAAGCTTTTCTAGGCTATAAACAGGCGTATCTAGTTAGCAAACTTATCCATTTTAGTCGAAGAAAGTGGTAGTTATTGTTTCTGGTTCTGGAAGTGCTCCATTTGTTCTCTCAATTTATTTTTAACTTAAGATCTATGATTTAGCTAGAGATCTCACCCTAATGTTGTCTATCAAAATTCTCCTTTTTTAAAGCATAAAGCCGAATTCTCTTTGATGCATCTGTTGAAATTTACTATCATAGTTAGTATCAAAAGAACTTTCAACCATAATGGAAGTATCTGTTCCCTCATATCTTAGATTGAGATATTTATCTAATATAGCTTGTTATAAATAATAAATTACGGTGTTCTATTTATTCTTCTTTAAAACCAGCATTTTAAAGTTATATCGAGTTTTATTTTATCAATTCTTCAAATTTCTCATTAATAGCTAAAATTAATTAGTAATTGAATTTACTAGGCAAATTTGAAGAGTCATAAATGCTCATAAATGGCTCTTCATTTTCTTAAACAACATCTGATAAGCCTAATCCATATGCACTTAAAATACCACAATACTTATGAATAAAAATTTTCTGAAATGTTAATTTGATTAAATTTACTTATATTCCAAGATCCTTGGCAAGTGAACAAGCATGTTATCCACCAGCTCCACCAAATATATTCAAAATATGGTCTCTGGGATTATATCCTCTAGCCTGAGTCATTTATCGAATAGGTCTGCACATTGACTCATTGGCTACCTTAATGAATCCCATTGCAATCTATTAAATACTTAACTATTTTAGATCATTTTTTTATTGAAAGCTATTAATATCTTCTCCAATTTGTTCGAAAGCCTTTTTAGATTGTTCTATGTCGAGCTCCTAATTCTCTTGAGGTCCAAATATTTTGGGGAAATATTGAGGTAATAATCTTCCTAATATAAGATTAGCATCAGTTACAGTAAGTTATCCTCCAGCTTTTCTGTAGCATACTGGGCCAGGATCAGCTCCAGCTGATTCTGGTCCAACTCGATAAAGACCATTCGTAAAGAAAAGTCTAGAGCCTCCTCCAGCTGCAACAGTATTTATATTCATTTATGGTGCCTGAATAGAAACACCTGCAATTGTTGTTTCAAATATATGTTCATACTATTCATGAAATCTTGATACATCTGTCGAGGTACCTCCCATATCAAATCCAATAGCTGGCATTATTTCTTCATTTTTCAGGCCAAGTTCTTTCATTTGGAAATCATTCGAAGTTTAAGAAAATCCGATGACTCCTCCAGCAGGACCAGACAAGATTGCCTTTGATCCTGAAAAATGGTCGATTGGAGCTAAGCCTCCATCACTTTGCATAAAGAACACTTTTGAGTTCAATAAAAGATCCTCATCAAATCCTAATTTAAACTCAGAAAGGTATCTCTAAACTATAAATTTAACATAATCTTAATTACTATGTGGGTTTAGGTAAGCATCTACACAGCAAGTGGATCCTCTTTTAACAATTTTGACTCTTGACATTACTTAGTGACTCAGTGATATTTAATTGAAGCCGACTTCTTTAGCTATTTTTCCTATTTCTATTTCATGATTTGGAAATCCATATGAATGCATCAAAACCACAGCAACACTGTTGAACTTTCTCTCATCTTTCAAATATTTCAGCGATTCTTTAACCTATTATAAGTCAAGTTCTTCTACTATGACAAATTTTTCATTATTTAAGCCAGTAACAATCCTTTAAATGTGATTGTCATTATCAAAATCTTTAAATGGCCTTATTCTTTCAGCTACTTCCACTACTTCCTCATAGATATCATCTGGTTTCTAAATGGTTAAAAGTTGTCAAACATACCTTAATCTCTAAATCAAATATCTTTGGTCTCTATTATGTTCCAATAGAAATAACATCACTTAAGCCCTTATTAATTATCAGTGCCGTTCTTTCTCCTTTTCTTTCTAAAAGTGCATTAGTAGCAACTGTTGTTCCCATTCTTATACTCTTTATTTAACTGGTTGGAATCTTGTTCTATCTTGGTATTTCAATCCCAATAACTTCAGAGACTATTCTTCTGATACCCTCTGTCGGAGCATCCTCATAATTTTTTTTATCAACAGACAACAATTTTAAGATTCTTGACTCTAATCTCATTTACTTGGCATGAAGAATATCACAATAAATGTCAGTGAAAGTGCCTCCTCTGTCAATCGAAAAGTAAAATTCTATATCTTATTTATCTTCAATGATATCCATCTATAATTTTAAATAAACAGATATTTTACAATATATGCCATAATTTTCACAGACTGACGGTAAAGTAGTACTTATATAAAAATCTCTTCTGCTTTGTTGCATTATGTTGAGCTTTGATTGTCAGTAGTATTCAAAAAATCTTTAATAAGGATACTGTAAATTAAAATTTCGAAGGTGAAGTAATATCTTTAATAAACATAGTTATATTTCAAGTAATAACTTTATAGAATCTTCTAGGGTTTCTTCTGGTTGTGGATATCATTTTTTCACAAGGAATAATAAATTAGTTTTTTAAATAAATTTTTTAAAAATTAAATAATAGGAATGGATTAATAAAGATATTCGCTTGAACAATATTTTGAGGAGCTAAGTGACAAATAAAACACATTATTGCCTCGTCCTGATGCCTATGGCACTTTGAAATTGCAAGAAAAGATAAATATATTCACAGAATTTGAGCCAGTTAAAGCTATCGTTCTTGGTTGTATGAGTGATACTTCAAGGTTGCCCTCTAATGAACCACTTTTAGTGGCTAATAAAGATTAAGATTTGAAAGCATGCCAATAATATCCAGCTAAGATATGTGCAAGAGCTAGAGAGATAGCAAATGAAGTGGCCAGAAAACTGGTGGAAAGGGGTATCGAAGTAGTTTGAGCAGCTGAAATGGACCATAGTGAAATACATGAGGTTGGTGGGGTAAAATCTGATTCCTTTTCGGTATTTAGCTCCAGAGACAATATTTTCTATTATCATGATAGTGCTTTTGAATTTCCAACTCCTATTTAATCCAGGTTTTGTGAGTTAAAAGCATATTAATGGATCTTAGCCTAATAGAGGGCTTTGGGTTCTAAATGGTATAAGTCTTGGGTCGAAGGATATTCAATTGATAAGCCTCTTTGGGATGCTGCAAATTTAATTCGAGTTGGTCTCGATATTATTTTTCTAATCTCCTTGGGTGGAACTGAAAGTGGCTATTAAAATTTCAAAAATTTTATGTTGCAAAGGTATAATGGATTGGTAAGAGTTCACCCAACAAGAGTCTATTAAGGCTTCCATATTGATACTACTTTTACTACGATTGGCTACAGCAAAATTTTGAAGAAATATATACTGCTTGCAAACTCTGATAGAACCAATCCTACTAACATTCCAGCAATATTCAGAGGGAAAAACTGGGTGGTTTTGAATTCGCCAGCTATGATAGATATGGGGTATGAGCCTGGATTTTAGATTGCAACTCCTTCACTGGGATAAAACATACTAGTACTAAATCCCAATCTTGTTTTAATTGACGAGTACTAAAAACCTCTTATTGAGGTTCTACAGTTCTATGGAATTGAATCGCTGACTGTTAAGCATGAGATAGGAAGATCTGTTGCTGGTGGCTTTCATTGTATGGCTAATGATTATTCGAGAGAGGAAACAATTGATTTTGAGAAAATTCTAGGTACTCCTATTGATCAGCTCTCAGCTGAAGAAAAAGCTGGGTATTTTGACCCAGTGCTCCTTAATTTTCTTTAAAGTAATGGTGATATTGAACATTGGGAAGAAATAGCCAACTAAAATGCCATTTTTCCCGAATACTTGACTGAACATCTCTCTTTTGAAGAAAAAGAAGTACTAGCAAGAGATCATAGAGAATAGATTGAATCAGCCAAAATTGGTGTAAAATAATTTAATTGATAAATATGACCTATAATTATTATCAATTTAATTTCAGCTCTTTTCAAGCTTTACACTTAACTATTGGGGTTTTGGGGTTTTGGGGTTTTGGGGTTTTGGGG